CAAAAAATGGGTTTCAAACACACCCATAGGGGTTTCAAAAAATGGGTTTCAAAAAAATGTTTTTGACGTCGTTGCCAAGAATCGAACCCAAGGCAGTAGCTTGACACTCGGAAATACTCAGCACTATACTACAACGACATTATCAGTTAAACCCGGGCTTCTTTTACAAAATCTTTGAATTTATCCAGTGCTCCCTCTAAAGTAGCCGGAAAATCCTGTTCAAATTTGGCTCTGAGAATTCCTGCCCGTTTATGAATCTCTTCGTCACTAATTACCTTCTCAATTCCTTTCAACAAATCCATTTTCACCATCTCCGGCGAACCACTGGGCAACGCCAGGTACCCAATTTTCAGATAATTAACCACCAGCTTCGCATTATAAATCTGATCACCCCTAATCGGCCATGCCAGAATCGGAACGCCAAATCCAATCGCCTCCAAAGTTGAATTCCATCCACAATGGGATAAAAATCCCCCAATTGATTTGTGGCTCAAAATCAGCAATTGGGGTGCCCAACCTTGAATTATCAATCCCCTTTCACCAATTTTATCATCCAATCCAAAAAATCCTTCACTTTTCTCTTCATTTTCAGATGAATTTAGACGATTTTGAGTAACCCAAATGAATGGATAGGCAATTTCTTCCAATGCGCATGCTAATTGTTTTAATTCTTCTTTTGTAGGGCTCAATTCACTGCCAAATGCTACATATAGAACACTTCCTTGGGCTTTTGAATCCAACCATTGTTTCACTCGATCCTCGCTCTGATTAGTTAGGTGGTTAGGGTTTCTACTTTGGAGGTCGTGGATTAATGTATTGGACTTGATCGACGCCCAATATTTGTCGGGCAAGAGCGGGCCGACACCCCATACTGGTATTCCGATTTGATTCTCCAAGTAATTGATGAATGGATGCTCTAGACCATCACACGTGTTGAACATTAAAGCGATTGAACCCTCTATTAATGGAACCCACGGCGGCTGATCTCCTGGTTTAGGTGGCCCATCTCCTCCGCCGGTGGATGTCCTCGCCGGCCGATTATGGTGGCGCGTGAGGTCCCGATATGCGATGTACGTTTCTTCTGGTAAGCCAGGTATAGTTTGACTCTGACCCGGATTAAGTTTGTATTCATTTGCGTTTGACGTCCACGCGCCCCATTCCATGGATGCTGCACACGCGCCAAAAGTGAATAAGCTGATAACCGGAATTTTGTGTTTCCAGAATATGTGTTTAGTCCAGCCCATTTGGAAGTCAATTATGGCACACATTGGGTGGGCCAAGTTTAGCCCGTTGGACCTACCTGAGAGGTGGGCCTCAAGTTCCACGCCCATTTGTTGTGGGGAAGTGTTGGATGTGGGTGGTCCTCTTATCGGGGCGGTGATTTCGATCGTTCCGATCAAGTGACGCTGGTCGTCGAGGGCGGAGTCTAGGGCCGCTGATGTGTTAGAGGGGTGGACAAGGGTGGCTTTGTAGTTCCGAAGACTAAGTTTTTTGCATAGTTCAATACAAGGAAACAAATGGCCTGAGCCAGAAGATGTAACAACAAAGACTTCTCCAATTGTTGTCATTTGCAAAACTATGTTCTTGAATTTTGTGGCCGAATTTTAGTGTGAGAGAGGAAGAAGTTTGGAGTAGAGAGAGAGAGAGAGAGAGAGAGGATATTCCTAGAGTGAGAGGTGCATAATGCAGCATTAAATGAATTGTGGAAAATGTTAGAACTGATATTATCTCTATCTCAATTATTGAGGTTGGCAAATGAGATATTTTGAAATTGGATTATGAGTCGAAATTCAGTGCTTGTCTGGAATTGCTTAAAAACTGGATAAAATGTTGACGGCAATATCAACTATCAATTTTAATTACGAGTTTTATGAAACTCATAATTTTTATCAATTTTACAGACATATAATTCATCATTTTTTTATCAAAAAATTTGTCAAATAACCTTTTTACTCAGGTAGACAACTTGTACTTTTGGGAACCATTCTCGTTTAGTGAGTTGGGCAATCAAATTGATGAATAATTTTAAGATTGGAGTGCAATACAATTCATGAAAAATAGTTCGATTTTTTGCCTTCAAAACATAGTTTGGTGGTAGGAATGGACAAAGGATACATAAACAAAATATAAACCCGTTTGACAAACAATTTTTTTGCAAACTCTTTTTTTCTATATACTTATTTTTAATTACACATTCATACAATAAAATATTTTACACGTAAACTCAAAATTTTTCCATACTTTTTAATCACACATTCTCTCAAAAACCATTATTCAAAACTCCATTTTCTACAAAAATAATTGTCGAACAGGGGGCTAAATAGAATGGCTATAATTGTCTAAATCATGCTACATGTACAATGTTTGTTGACAAAGTTGGTTGACAACATCTTATTTGGTATCATCATACTCATTCATTTAAAAAAACTGTTTTCTATATCACATATTTAGATTTTAACAACAAATGATTGTCAATCATATTTGTACACTTATCTTTATTCATAGTTGTCTTGATCAAAGGTTTGCAAATATGTAGGAGCTGTTTGACATAATTTTTGTTTTTGCTTTTATAGAAGAGTTTCTTGAGGAATATATCTTATTTTTTGTTTGGAAATCAATTTCTAAAAGATATTTCTTTTTCAGAAATATTTTTAGAGAAAGTCGTATTAGATCAATTTCATCTAAAAACTCATCTAACTAGAAGAAACACTTTTATAAATTTAGTCAAACGAGTTCAAAAATAATATTTAAATCTCAAAAATTCTTTTTTACTTTTCAAAAGTCATGTCAAACAAGCACATAGTAAAAACCTGTTTATTTAAACTATTTTTATTGTTCACTTTATTTGTAAAAAAAAAGGTAAATAAATAAAGCAAGAAAAGACCATCAAATTTTGCTTGCTTTCGTACATCGAGTATCTCTCTTAACATAAAATCAATTCAAATTTAAAGTAAAAAAACCATCTGTTGACCCCAAAAAATGAGCTCAATAGATGCCGGACCCACTCACCTCAATTCAAGTACGATTTCGGGGCGTTCCTTCTGGAACGATGATGGTAGCACGAATAAGATGGACGCGGGAGGTACTTAGCGACGAGAGACGAAAATGTTCAAACTCCGGAGGATGGAACAAAAGCAACCGCACTAACAACGATTGCCTGATGGAAACTAAACTAGTCTATGTAATAACAAAGTAGGAATATGTGGAAAGATAAATAAAATGTTCATATTTTTTCCTCAAGAGTTAAAGTGTACATTTTAAATATGTGATTGTCCTCCTTCTCTCAATGACCCAACCCCTCGTTTCATTACAAAAAAAGACCTAATTATAATTCATTGGCCGACGTGATGACCGTAGGATTGGAACCACGTGGCCTCATCTCTCTAACTAAGGTTTCACATCACTGTCTATTCATACAATTAATACATTGATAAATGGTCGGCCGCCCTATACAATAGGATGGCATAATGACAAACTTTTATTACAAGTGTTACGTCAATCACTTCCGATAGATCTCCAAATCTATCTCGAGAGGCAGCGTTGGCTTCATGAGCTTCGGATGAGTTGGAGGCAACTTCGGAGAGATCCGAGGTCCTCACCCACATTACGCAGCTTCATCCTTTGGAGAAGTGTGAGGGCATTGGTCTGTTCCTCTTTACTGGTGTGTTTGGCCTATTGGGTCTTCTTTTGACTGGTGTGTTTGACCATCTGCTCACATGTCATACCACGTGGCTTCATTCCACGTAGGATCGAATTTTGGCTGCCCCCCTGCTACTTTGTCATCCTCGTTGCCATCCCCAGATCTAGGGCACCCCGACCAGCCTCAATAGCCTCCATAGCCCTTGTGTGACTATCCACGCTGGCCGCTGCTTACATGGCTGTTTATGTGGCGATCTGACCTGAGATTTCGGATTTGAGGGGTAACACCATCCTTAATTTTGGTAAGAGTAGCTTCTTTCTATGAATTTTTGTTGGTTATTGTAAAGATTAAAATAGTAGAAACCCAAAAGAAAAAAAAGGTTGAATGTTCTTTGATTCTAAAACTTACGAACAAGTCAAACGAAGAACTTTTCCCTACCAAATTCTATCCATACATGTCTACTTCTTCCCGTTCCTTCTTTACTGGTAGAACTGTTAAGACTCGCACAAGC